TCGTACAATGACCACTTCGGCCAAATCGCCTGCCTTCAAAGCACTGCCGAACTCTTCAAGGGACATCTCGCCCAGTTCAAGAAGAGCATCTACTGCAGGCATAGCCTCGGGGAGACGTCGTCGTCTTCCTCTCCCGTCATACCGTTGACAATGGTGTATAGCTGTGTGCTATCGTCTACGGTAGACACGGGTAAGGGTCGACGCCCTGCGTCTTGCAGATAACATATGGCATCGCCGTCTCCTCTCTTTGAAGTTTTACGTCTCATCAAGACCAGTGGGAACTCAACACTCAGCGTCATCCAGTGTTCCCACTATTTGCTTCATCTGAACCATGATGTTTTTACAGCATCTAACGAAGAGCTGCTATTTCCCAGTTTCTGTCCAGTGGATAACGTGCCAATTCACGCGCATCTGGAGAGCCTTCCCCGGATGTCTCGGACCTCGTCCATCCATGCCACTTTTGGCATGCAGCAATTGTTTTGAAAGTCGAGCAGTGCTCAGTGAACTACGTGCCACTCCACGCGCATCACTATGACCTCGCCCCCGATGCCTTGGACCTCGTCCGACCATGCCACGCTTGGCATGCAGTCTCTGCTTTGAAACTTGAGCAGTGCTCAGTGGATTACGTACAACTCCACGCGCATCACTTTGACCTTGCCCTCGATGCCTCGGACCTTGTCCGACTATGCTACTATTGACATGCAGCAACCGCTTTGTTACTTGAGCAGTGCTCAGTGGGTTACGTGCCACACCACGATCAGCCCGCAAGCCACGTTCGGAAATCTAGTCCAAAACACCCTTAATGTATGACAACTCGCATTCTCCGAATCCGAAGAATTGACCGTCTCGGTTCAGTGCCGGCGTCATTGGCGCTTTGCTTCCTAGCGGAGGAGGGTTCATGACTCACCAAACTTCACCAGGAGACGTGCACGTAGCGTCCAAGGTCTTCGATCTCCAATTTATCCATGACTCATGGTGTTCCAATCATGCCATACCAGAAATAAAGTCATACCTTGCATCCAAGTCTAAGACTAAGCAGCGTTTCACACCATCAACGTCAAGGGCGTTAACACCAAGGTCCACAGGGACACTTGACACAGAGACACGAAACCCCGTCGCTAAGCAAACAGTGACGGTGTCACTCAATCGCGCTTTCAGCGCCTCAGCATACAGCTGACTTCCTTCAATCTTGAAGCGTCAAGCATAATTGCACGACGCCCCGGGATCGATAAGGACCTTCAATGCTTCTCAAAGACCCCCACGGTCGCTTTCACGGCCGGCAAGCACGGCTTGCATACACGTCCTGTGTTCAAGAGTACGAAGCACTTCGCGGTTGGGCCCTGCTAACCGCTTCTTCTTCGAGGCTCAAGGGAACAAAGTTTTTCCTAGTAGGGTACCCCCGCGCCTTCTGGCGTTTCTCGTAAACCCTCGACAAACTAGACTGGTTATAAGCAAAACGTTGGTTTGATGAACCTTGACGCGCCTTGCGCAGGAGACAACCAGTCCGAAGATGATGGTGTCCCCACAAATAAGATACCGCCGGGTGTCTACAAGCTGCTCGGCATTTCGAAGCTCTCCCTCCTCTTTCTCAGCATAGCTGACATTCATTAGTCCAGGCCCGCCAGAAAAGCTTTAAGGGTGTGCAATCCAACCAAGACGTGCCGACTAAAAGTTGAAGTCGGGATTCAATGCCAATTTCACCACTTCGTCTGAAAAAAGACGGATGCACACGGAAAAATCCCATTCTGGCCACGACCGTGCGAAGGTTTTCCATAAAGACGGTCACTGTGACCGCCTCGGGAGAGGATCGGCTGCCATCCCGGCAGTGAGAGTACGCAACTCTTGGACAAAGAAATATTTTCTTGTCCTATCGGGTGGCTAGAAAACGCGATATCAAGCGAGATTCCTGGTTAGGTGGCGAGAAAACTAGTTAAACTTTAGCTCTGTTTAGGGAGGGGAAACACCGCCGCGATCAAAGTGTCGCATGTTAGAGCTCATTCCTGCTCTCGAACACCAAGCTTGGAGATAGCTAGCGCCGCGCACTTTTGCTCAGTCTGGAGCATGGCGGACGCGATAGCTATCGCAGCCTCTCCCACCCAGAGCAAGATCTTCTCCCGATCCTTCTCTCGGAGATCTTAACGCTTACCATGAGCAGCCTGGGTCGGGAAGAGTCAGACGATGGCGTTATGGACGCAGTTGCCGCCGAGATCTTCTGCTCTAGGTGCTCTAGCAGAGCGTTTTTGTAGTTTTGAAAAGGCATCTAGGCGCGCACTGATCGCTTCAGTTCCTTGTGGGGCGAGATGTTGCACGCCCTCATGACCAAGCAGATAAATCAGCTTCTAAAGCCCATCTAGCAAAGGCTGGGGAAAATAGGAGAATTGATTCATCATCACAGAGGATCAAGTGTTGATAGACTACAAGTGCTACCAGGTGCAGTGGGGCTGTCGTAGCTCTTTGTTTAGAGAAAGGTTAAGCTACGATCACCGACCTTACGTTCATACTAGAACCAGTTTGACTATAGCGGATCGAAGGCAAATACACTCTTTCGCTCAAAATCCAGACTGTATTCCTTTTTTTATTTGCGGCAAAGTCGCCTATATCCAGATCTAAAGAATTTCCCGAATAAATAGTAAGACCCGATTTATACGCATAACTACTGGCAGTCACGCCACGCAGTTGCTTCTTGTTACGGTATGGTCACATCATTGTGTTATTACACCGTCTGTGCCATCCACACTCTTCTATGGTCACAACATCTTGTATGATCCGCCTATTCATACAGGGGTACGTGCCTTTACGCCTATTGATGTCTCGGGTTTTGAGTGTGTGTTTTTAAGCCACACCTATAGATACATAGATACGGTAGCTCTAACCTTTTCCTGGTATTACTCACACAGCATCCCTGCTAGAATAGTTTTTGGCCCCTAAACCTTTTTAGCAGAATTTCTTGCCGGGTTAGATAGCTCAGAACACATCCGCTGAGCCTGATTATGCAGTGCAAAAACTCGCTTATCTTCTCTCTAATTTAAAAATGTCTTCTTGACTGGAAACGCTAATAATTGCCCATCCTCGCAGTCGATCAATCGTGTGCTGGGCTGTCATAAAATCTGGGGCGATGCCAAAGCCGTGACTATATCATGCTCTCGTATCCAGAGGTTGGGCTTCTTTTCTTATTTCCTTTACGCTTCAAAGAAGCAATCTCGTGATATCCCCTGGTAGAAATCGGTGGTAGCCTTACAGGCGTCTGGTAAATTTTAATTTGGACGTATTTCATTAGCGCATTCTTGTACAAGATCGAAATTTTGTAGCTTGATCAAAATTCTCTTGGCGTTACAAAAAATATCATCAAATGCATAGTTACAAATTTTATTATGTAAAAATTTTGAAGTCTAATTTTGCGCCCGATCCAAACATTTCCTTTCTCTCTTCTCAAAGGCACTAGTTTGAGTATGGATTCAAGTTTTCCTGCAACAGCGGGTTCCGGCGGATCATTTTAATTGTAGCTGTGCTTAACTTTTTCAATTTTATTTTCTGTCGACTCATCTACAAGATTTTAGCGCGAATAGAATCCGATTCCTCCCAACTTTTACTGATGTCCACATCTGCAGCATTGTATACGTATATCTTCGTCGAGTCATCTGAAATGCATGGCTTAACTGATACGACATCAAGCGTAAGCGGATAATTGTTATATAGCTACATTTTGATGAAGATAAAGGTGGATGGAGTAAGTGAAGACATTTTGTCTCATTGACAAATTTCATGCGATTCTTGATTCCGTGCGACAGTTCTCATTTACAGAAGACTGATCGCCAAGCTTATCCAGAAGGAAACTCTTTATCGGATGTCGCTGAGGAGTAGATTGGCACGTGAGTGATCCAACTGACACTATTCTTCAAATACGCCGAACTTTTATATTTCATACGATTTACCGTGACGTCTTCCCAGCTACATAATTTCTCACCACCGATGAGATAGTAGTGTTTAACTATATGGACAAAAACTCGTTAATGAAATCCAAAATATCTCTACTCGGTCCGATCAGTCGTACAAACAATCATATATCAATATATCTATTGTCTGCTCCAAGAACTTATTAAGGAGAAGGTCTCAAGTCAATTTCAGACGACTTTTAAAAATTCCTGATTCTACAAACAGTATTTGAGTGGGTACCCGTTAACGATCGCCACAAGTGAGCATTCAACCCTGCGCTTGACACTTATTTTCGCCGCTGCAATTTCGGTCGTGATCGTTATCATTCCGTTTAAGCACCACAGCAATGTCATAGAAAGCGTCGGCTTCCAGCCAAGATATAAACATTTCTGTGCCTTTTGCCTGCTTCAATCGTCGTAAATCAAAGTCGCATTAGTGCGTGTCTATTATGATAATCACGTATCACTGGAAGCGATATATTGACATATTGATATTTATTCCACCTTACCTGCTTTAATTGAGAAGTGATGCCGTGGTCACCATGACATGTCCATTGTTCTTCTTACTTGTACTATGCTTCCATGTTCAAGCCGAAGACATACTCAAGAAAAAATATCACAAGCGAAGCGTCAGTTTACGTGTAGATGAATCTTCATAAATTTCTCAAATCACATCCTCGAATTGACCATCCACCTGTTCTGAGCAAGAAAGAAGCCTAGTCAGAAGTAAGCCTTTTTCACTCAAAACTCCCTTGAAACGTGAAGAAGATTGATAGTTTGAGTGTGGCCACTGCTTGTGTTTGCACTTATATCTGTTGGGGATACAATCCTTGCGATTAAGAATCTACAGTCACTGGATGAGTCTCGGCGATATTAAACAAAGGACGCTAGTCTTAGCTTTAGCTCCTTGCCTTACGAATTCGACACAGCAATACATTTATCAAATCCTTTCTTGTAGTGATCACGTAAAATAGAGAAATCACGAGGATCCAAACACGACTTTCAAAGGTCTCGAGCTTTTCTGCAACGACACATACCAGGTCAATACTGTCATCATATACATCAGAAATTGCTAAAGTTAGAGTCAGCCATATCAACCAAAATTTGGCTACTTTGCGCTCTACATACATCTGGTCGATACTCCCTCATTCAGCTTCCGTTATGTCTTCAAGTCACGCCACAGCTGCACAAACAGTGTAACTTTTGAAGTTTCAATTAGAATATGTCTTGTTTTCAACTACTATATATGTACTGTCTTTCGTATCAAATCTTATGAAACTTCGCCTTCCTGGACATGACAACTTGTAGCGTTGATGACCACACTACCACGTCGTTATATGTCTGAAAAAAATGTTGTCTGAATGATGCTGCTAGATGTAATCATAAGAAGAAAACATTGCACTATTATATTTTTTAATTTCCTCACACTTCGGATAAGAAGCGGAACGACACACTCAAATGATGTTGCTATACATCAGTGGTGTGCCCACTCATACCATCAAGACAGCAGTGAGCAATCAAAAACATTGGTAAGTCTCGTCGACACTGCAAATTTAAGTGACATCTCAGATTGTTGTTTAGATATTTTGAGCTGAAGTATCTACTGAATTCCTATTAGCAAAAGTCGCATACCAAACACATTTAACATTTATAAACACTGCGAAAACCGATGTTTGCCACCTTTGTGCGTATATCTTCGCTTAGGATAGCAATCGCCACATAAATCATAGTCAAAGCACTCACTGCAAGCACAACCATGTAGCACATTATTTATAATGTTCACAATTATAAAAACTATAAATGAACGTACTTGCACCGATAGTGAATTGTCTTGCATCTTGACCCTGGATCAGCTTCTGTATCGATCTGCTGTTCGCAACGATTACTACAGATAAACATCAGGTGCAAGTCATTCCACGAAATGTTCTAACTAAATGTTTTATCGAGAACGTACCATACAATATCTTCTTCAAGACCTTCATCTTCTTCTTCACCCCCCTGCTGATCTTCTCCATCATCATCATCATCCATACCAGCAGCTAATCTATTCTTGCATTGACATTCGCCAAAGCAATAAACTCGCTTGCCAGTTGACTGCTGATGGGACAGCACCTGATTATCGTTTAAAAGGTCCGTTTTTTGAGCAGATTCGAGTCCATACTGATCCAAGTCCCAACCAGCTTGGGCACAAATGTAGCGAACAATATCGTCGCAATTTCCCAAGAGCGACATGTCAAACTCCTCTTCATTATCTTCGTCCATTTTGCTGTCTTGAGTTCCACTAATTTGGCTCATTGTTCCACCGGCCGACAAGTTTTTCGACTTTAACTTCTTCTTCTTCAACGCCGTCTTGTTAATGACAACTTGGGGAATATGCGACGGCAAGTAGCTTGGAATCTCCATCACAGGTGCAACTTTAAGAGATGTTCCAATGACAATCAGCAAATCTGCTCGTAAACGATCTTTTGTGATCATGGTACTAACTTTATCGTCCAAAATTTCACCAAAAAAAGTAATTTCTGGCTTCAAAACACCGCGACAATTTGCTTGTGAGCACGTAGGAACAATTCCAGCTTGAATAACCGACATTAAAGAATTTGTAGGTATTCGCTTCTTGCAGCGCATACATGCTGAATAAGCAAAACTACCGTGGCAAGGGATACACCTTGTCACACCAGCAGCTTCCTCGAGTCCATCAATATTTTGTGTATACACGCGAAGCAACTTTTTTTTATCTTGTAACAGCCTTAAAAACCAGTGCGTTGGTGACGGTTTGGGTGAGCTGGCAAAAGCATTGCGTACTACTTCAAAAAATGGTGCTGGGTCGTCTCGAAAGTAGTCTATCTGAAACAAACACTCAGGTTCTGGTAATACAACATCCATATTGCGTGCCATGGCATAAATACCATCCTTTGAACGAAAGTCTGGAATGCCACACGACACACTAATACCAGCTCCAGCAATCACAACGATCTTTTTTGCCTTTTTTAAAAGTTGAATAAAGTCGGTGATCGAGTCTAGTGTTTTGCGAGGCAATGCACTTAACAAGTCGACTTTAGCTTCTTGAAGACATTCGTAGCAACTTGTGTTTCCTAGGATTGAAGCTGATTGGAAGGGCTTACCACATGCTGCATGGTATCTGCATTTATACAAAAACATATTTCCACAAAATTGAGGAATCATAAGAATTCTTTAAAAAAAAAATTCAAAGAATTCGTACAGTCGTGAACAGTTGTCACATTGTAGCATTGTATTTCGGTAAGTTCTTGGCGGTCGATGGCAGATAAAACATTCAGCACCTTGTTTGCGACGCTTTTTCTTATAGTTCGAGCCATAATTCTCGTCATCTGAGTCATCATTCTCGTCGGAATACTCGGGTATTTGTTGACCTGACGACAGAACTGCATAATCTACGTCCGTCCGTTTAGCCTTTCGGCTGGGTCGGTCAGATAGCGCCATCATTATCTGTAAAAGCTGTTTTTTATCGGCTAAAACGGTGGACAAGTCGATTTGTGGAAGCGAATCGGGGAGTGAGTGAGGTGGGGGTACTATCGACTTTTTTTTTTAATAGGGGTTTTCCTAGTTTTATGTGGATTCTTATAAGTACGATTACTGTGTCAAAGGCGAGGCGAGCGCTTGAGACCATCAATTGAGATGGGTTGGACATGTACAAAGAGTGTTTGTTGGAGAATAGTGGGATTACAGGTATTCAGATGATCATTTTTTATGTAGCAGATAACATTTTCGTTTTAGTCTCACACTTTGAAATGTCAGTACGAGTCGATTGAAGTAGTACAGAAGAATTTCTGGTCTGCCAACTAAAACGACCCATCGTTAGATTCTTTGTGATCGGTAGAAATCATTGTAGTTTTCTATACTGATCATGCAACGATGATGATCTCAAAGGTCTCATCAGAAATTGCGATTACAAATAATTTGACATCTTAAGAATAAAGCTACGGACATTTATTATTATGATTTTTAGTTATACATTTTCTTTGTGAGAATTCACAGCAACACACGATAACATTTTAGACGTGATGACGTAGCACAACCATCAACCAGAACTTAGGAGAGCTCTGTATTATATTCATGCGGGATATAAAAAACGCGGACAAATGAGCTTTTTTTATTATATTAATACACCCAGACAATCACTTTTTCTGTACGATGCATACAAAGCTTTTGATACTACTATATTGGGATATACGCTGACCCCTTATTAAGAATATTATCGCCTTACATGAGCAGTCGTGTTGAGCATCAACTCGTTCGATGTTGGGTGTGCAGCTTTTCGTAAAAGTAGTGCTCCGACAATGATAAGCCTTCAGAAATGCATCTTTATTTGATACCACGACTTGTTTTTGTCCATGTCCTTTTTTAAATTGTGCCGTTATTATAAAAAGGGGGAGATGTACAAACAAGATTAGTATTGTCCTTGGGAATTTCTAATACATGTCGGATCTCATTGATAATATTGTGAGATCTCGAAAAACGCAAGAAGAAAGTCGTTTTCATACCTGTATGTTAATATCCCATCGTATGCAATGCTTCATACATAGATGACATATTATTGAAAAAAATATTTTAAATAGTTGAAGCGCACACAAAAACTTAAAAGATACAAGTATTATGGGGACAATGGCTCAGATGAGGTAGATTATATTAGCTTTATTTAAATTCGGTAGCTCATTCGCGAAGGTGTTGCTTCGTCAGTAACAAAGAGCAAGGACATCAACTGTCCTTATCGCCTGATGTGATACGAGACTTCTGCTGATGGTAATCTACGTGATGTACAGTAGGGTAGCGATGCAACAACGGTACAAAGATTCCATCCGAATGTTGTCTGCTCGCTCGTATATATTCCTTGCAAATTTGTAACTCAGTAAGATGAACTACCTCATGGAAATAGAACTCAGTTTATACCGCATCCATTACTCCTGACATCATACATGATCATTTGAAAGGAAGCCAGCTGATTCGAGTGTTTAGCGTTTGATTGGCAAAATCGATTATACTTCTGGTCAGTTCTTGTGATTGATGGCATATGGAGTCAGCAGACATTATACCAAGCTATCAGCTTTCCACCAGCTTACTGACAACAAAAAACAAGAAGAATAAATGCTGTTTCAGTATTTTTAGATTAGGCAGCGCCAAATTTGATAATTCAAGTAATCTAAGCACAAATCAACATCGAGGCATTCATCCACGTTTGATACTTTGTTAGATTGTGAGTTTAATTGTAATCGTCAACAAAACAAGTCAAATAAAAAACAAGTCCAGATGCGCCGCCTGTCTGAAGAGTATATTATAGCGCTTGAAATCAAGAAGCTCGAGACATATTCCTTTAAATTATAAATTCGGTATGGTGTCGAAAGCCTGAAATCTAGTAGTTAGAGTGAATAGTTATCTAGATCAATAAAAAGGTAACTTACGTGTACATCGTACTTTAAGCTGTAAACGAAAAATACTTTTAGCCGTATCATATTGGGAATTGCACTTGTCTCCAATGATATTTCTGTGCTCCCTACACAATACGACACGGCTGATCATAAAGGCAAGAGATAGCTCAAGAACTGTAACATATTTGCACGAAGGATGCTAGCACCTTTGTTGTGCTCACAAATTATACTCACGAGTTCCTTCCCGCTTTAGATGTAAAGGTGGTAAAACACAGTGATTTAGTACAAGGTACAATAGTATTGTAGGTACTCCAAAAAGAAACGCAGTGAACTTTATCATAAATCATGTACAGCGCAACTACTATTTTTTCCTGGAGTGTAAATGTAGGCGGTAATATATCGCTCAGAGCACACACATCAATAATCGCGTTGGAAACGTCAGCTTCGTACCAAGACAAGTGCGTCGGTCGACTACCACATTCTATGGTCCAAAACTAATGAACATGCTTACAGCTCGACGCCCGAAGCTGAGCATCCTTGCCACGATGAAAAGTGTATTCATTGTGGGAAGTCAGGACATACTGCTCGAGATTGCAGAGTGTCTTTGCCATATCGGCAATAGACAGGGTGCTCATTCGGATGTACGTGGACGTCATACCGTCGCCGATTCGATTGCTCCGAGGGTAAAAGAAGTGAATAACCTGAAGAGGCCGGGATCCCAAATAAATTCGACAAGAGTACTGTGAATGCTGAATATACACGTAACTTTGGCATCAGCGTGCACGATTCAAACGCAGTTTCCACTTGGGGTGATATTAGCGTCAGGTGAAGCGCTTTTTTGATTGTCCAAGAAGTCTTTGTTGATGATTTTGCGAAACCACTACAAAATTTGATTGACACATTTGCGTCAAGAAACTCTGTTTTACCGCACATTATGAAGGTGCATGATGTTTGTAACGGGGTTACACATACCCTGGTAACAGGGTATTGGTACGGGGCTGGATAGCCAGTAGTTATACATGGATTTAGATTTTACTATACATATTTAGGAAAATCTATGAATTTGAAATTAGGCGGCTTTGTCGCAGATAAAAAATAAATAAAGTCAGTTTTGGCTTTAAACCGAAGAGATAATTAGCCTTGGGTTAAGGTTGTGATTACTCTTGGAGTAAGCGGATTGCGATCCGCTAAACTCGAATTTGTTCAAAGTGTAGAACGAAAGATCGGTGACCTAACTTACGCTTCCTCTAAGCGCAAAGCTACGGCAGCCCTGCTACGCTTGGTAGCACTTGTAGTCACTCTAGACCTGAGTCTTTTAGATTGATCCCCTGTGAGGATAATACAGTTTTCCTCTTTGCCCTAGAGCATGCAGTACGGGCTTAAAAAGCTGATGTTCTTGTTTGGCCCTGAGGGCGTGCAACACCTTGCTGCGCAAGGCCCCGAGGCAATCGGTGCGCATCTAGGGGCATTTTCAAATTACAAAAATGCGCTGCTAGAGCGCCTGCAGCAGAAGATGTCTGCATCATTTGCGTCTATAACGCCACCGTCGGTAACGGAAGATTTTCCCCGCCCTAAGCCGCTCATGTTGAGCGTTAAGGTCTTTAAGGAGAAAGATGGAGAGAATCTCCTGCTCTGGGTGAGAGAGGTCGAGATGGTTATCGCATCCGCCATGCTCCAGACCAAGCAACAGCACGTGGCGCCAGCCATCTCAAAGCTCGGTGGCCGAACGCAAGAATGGGCATTGACGTGCGGCACTTCGGTCGAAGCTGCGTTTCCCTCTCGGGCGGAGCTGCAATTGCAGCTCTCCCGAGTATTCTCGCCGCCTTACCAGGTATATCGCATGCGAGCGCGTTTTCTCGCTGCCAGACAGGGCATTAAGGAATTAATGGACTTTGTCCAAGATGCGCACTCTCGTTGCTGGGATGGCAGCAGATACCCTTCCGGAGGCGGTCACAGTAACCGATTTTATGGAAGTCTTTCGTGGTTTATCCATCTTTTTTGAAGAAGCGGCGAATGTGGCATTGAATGCCGAATC